CCCTCTTTCTGCCTCTCTCCCTCCCTCCCCTCTCTCTCTGCCTCTCTCTCTCTGCCCCTCTCTTCCTCCCCCTCTCCTTCCCTCTTTCTCTCCCTCTCTCTGTCTCTGTCTCCCTCTCCCCCCTTTCCCCCCTTGCCACCCTCACCCTCTCTCCCTTTTTCAAAGAATCCACCTGCCTGGGGAAAGCCCTGCTGTTGCCTGGAAACAAAGCTCTCTGGGCTGCGGGGAGTGCAGGATGAAAGCAGATGAGGGAGAAAACTGCAGAGTCATTTTTAAGAGGCAACTTTGGCTCTGAGGACAGCAGGGCCTGACTATAACCTGAATGGAATTATTAACGCAGAGTTTCCAGAACATCTCTGAGGGGGGAAATGTACAAAAAGAAAATCAGGGGGAAAATGCCCAGGATTCAGGCTGATGGTTACCTTGGGCTGGGGGGAAATGGCAGTGTTACATACGTATGTGTGAATTATTGTCAAGACCCTATTTTTATGTTATGAGGTGGGGTCACAAGAAAGGTATTATTGTAGATTTATATAAATACAGCATGGCTATATTTTTTTAAAGATTTTATTTATTTGACAGAAATCACAAGTAGGCAGGGAGGCAGGCAGAGAGAGAGGAGGAAGCAGGCTCCCCACTGAGCAGAGAGGCTCGCTCAGGGCTCGATCCCAGGACCCTGAGATCATGACTTGAGCCAAAGGCAGAGGCTTTAACCCACTGAGCCACCCACATGCCCCAAGCATGGCTATATTTTATGCTAACCTAAATCATAAACATTTGAAATCATGAGCATTGGGAGTATTTTTTGAAGTGAGAAGAAGTCTTACAATTTAAAATTCTTTAAAAAAAATCCATACCTTTTTTTTGGTTCTTTTTATTAAATTTCTTTTCAGCATAAAAGTATTCATTATTTTTGCACCACACCCAGGACTCCATGCAATCCGTGCCCTCTCTAATACCCACCACCTGGTTTCCCCAACCTCCCACCCCCCGCCCCTTCAAAACCCTCAGATTGTTTTTCAGAGTCCATAAAATCCATACTTTTGAATTGTGTACATTGTAAACTATACTTGTTATTATATTATCACTTTATCTAGTGAAGAGACATGTCAACCATTTTGTTAGGACTATTCTTGAGTTATGTGAGTTCTGAGTTGTCCAAGGTCTTCAAGAATGAGTCCCTGGCATAAGATCCACCCACTCTGGGGCGGACGGACAGATGGATGGATGGATGAATATGTTTGTTTTTCCCAAAGATCTGGTCACCAGAGAAGCTGCAGCTACTCTGATCACTCAAGAGACAGACGTTCAAAAAGCACCCACTATGTGCTGGCCATTGCAGGGAACAGCCACAATACCAGAGGCATAATCCCTTCTCCTAAGAAGACTATTTCTACACCTTTTCAAGAGCAGGAAGGTTTGAGCCTCTGATATGGACCCTTTGATCAGCTCCAGTCACTGAAGTCTGACTCTTACCTACTTTTCTATCTTCTCATGGAGCTGTTGGCCTGGAGGGTGATATTCCAAATTCGCTAAAGAAGCTGGAGGTCATTATATTATATATATTCTTGCTTATTGCCTTCCTCTCCTTCTAGAATGTAGACTCCATGATGGTAGGGGCTGTGGGTTTCTAATTCATCCCTGAGCCCCTAGCATGTAGAACATTGTTTGACACACCCTGATGATCTATGAATGTTCTTTTCAAGGACTGAGTGAACAATAAGTGATGTTTGTAAACATAAAATATCCCGATATCTTAACAATGGCAACTCATCAAATTAAAAAGATGAGTGAACTGAACCGACACATAGGTGGGCTGGATGCAGCTCGTGGTCCGCACAGTTGAGTCATCTAAGATCAAGGAGTCCTTACTGAGCAGAACTCTGCAATGAGACTGTTCCATGGGCAGCTGACCTGTTCCCCACTCTGGTCCCTCAGCTGTGGCCCAGAGGACAGGGCTGTGGCGTCAAGCAAGGGATCCTGTCAGCACGGATCATTCCACAAAGAGAAGAATCTATTTATTCTTTTAAACAACTACAAGGAGGGGTGCCTGAGTGCTCAGTCGGTTAAGCATCTGCCCTTGGCTCAGGTCATGATTCCAGGGTCCTGGGATGGAACCCATGTCAGGTTCGTCTCCCTCTGCCTGCCCTTCCCTGCTTGTGCTCTCTCTCTCTCTCTGGCAAGTAAATAAATAAAACTCGAAAAAATGTAAAAAAAAAAACTACAGGGAATTAATCCCACTATGTTGCTGCATGGTCTTTCCCCCAACTAGCAGACATTAAGGTTGCATCCAGAGACTGATCATTTGGGAGCCTCAGATCTCTTGGGAAAGGCCCAAATTCAAGTTGCAAACAGCTAGAACTTAACCCAGGGCAATCTGTCACCTAAGGCCTTCTTATTTTGCTACTACTGAAAATCCTTCAGTTTATTCTGCAGGGGAAAAGACGATGACTGAAGTGAGAAAACGCACCTAGTTGCCTAAAACCTTGAAGAATTTAGTCACTTTGGGGGGGGGTGTCTGGGGTGAAAGAGAAAAATGACAGAGTTGCCAAGTCTGCTTAGGAAATATGCGTCCTCTCCACGCTGTCAGTTGGGTAATATCCTTACCCTCACTTCATACAACAAAACAGATCTTTGTGGACTGATATGGAAAGATCTTGAAGACACATCATCGCATGGAAAAAAGCAAACTGCAGAGCCGCAGATGCAGTGTGCCATCACTCATACGAAATCCTAACTACATACAATACAACGTCCGGTATTTTCTATGGATGCATAGACGCGTATGAAAAGGTTTAGCAAATTTAAAACTCGACCGATGCTTATGAGAAAAGGCTCACAAGATTAGCAAGTTTCTCGTGGCTACACGTATTCATTCAGGATGAAAAACCCGCAGTTTTGTTAAATGAGGATCAAAGCCAGGAGACAGATCAAGTCTCAGCAAGGCAAAACTCAGGTGTTACTGGTTTTTTTTTGTTTTTGTTTTTTTTGTTTGTTTGTTTTTACCACGGATTACAGATTTACAACAAGTGTTTTATTATCTGGGGATCAGGACTAGACAGGGAGGCCCTGTTAGATTTGGTTAATCTCAGGGAGCAAACTAATTTTTCTTCCTGACTACGGTATGCCATGAGTGTGACAGTTTTGCTTCCATATGTATTGCTTATAAGATAAAAAGTTAAAATCCTAAAATCCAAAGATACTGACAATATGAAGGCATATTTCCAAGTCAAAGACGTTAGAATGTAAAAAAAGGGGGAGGCACCTTAGCATCAAACAAATATGACACATAGATTTAATTATTACAACTGTTCAGCCATAATAGCGCATATATCATAGTAAAAGACCCATATATATTTGGCATTGTTATTATGGGATGGCTAATATTAGCCAGGCTTGTTCTACGGATAGGGAAGGTGAAGCTCAGAATCAATGATTCCCAGACATGCACACAAAAGCTGCATCTATTTCTCTGGGCACATACACATCTGTACATGAGGAAGAAAAGTGCCTCCCAGTGCGCCCCAAATCCACCAGCTACTCACCTCCAGAGCAGAGGGCTACGCTGACGAAGTGAGAGCCCCCGGAAGTCTTGCTTTATCAATATGTTCTGACCTTTGACAAAGAAAATACGTTTACTTATTAACTTTCCAGAAATAAAATAAAATAATATTATTTAAAAAGGGATTTGGAGAAGGTGAGTGCCCCTCCCAAAGACGGGCTGGGAATAGTCTTGCTCGGCACTGATGCCCAACACCTTCTGATCACTATTAAACCGAGTCACCTGGCTCACGCAGCCAGTAAATCGCACCCCTGGGATGCAGACCTGAGAGACTGGCTCTAGAGCCTGTCCCTGTCCTGCTCCATGGGGCAGACTCTCTCTGGAAGTTCTTCAACACCAGGAGAGGCGCCTCCCCTCCCCAGGTTCACCCCAGGACAGCCCAATCCCGAGGGGAGGGGGGCTGAGGCACGGCTGGCTGTGTCTCCTCTGTTTTGGTCTTTGTTCTGGGTCTCTATGGCAGCCCTCTTCCCCCAGAGGATCCCGGATCCATTCTTGGGCAGCCAACCTGTCTCTCCTTTCCAACGGTGAGAGATGGTTGATGGCCGTGGAAACCCTCCCTCGGATGTAGACCAACAGCCAAGGGAAAGACAGTCCTACCATTTGAGTCCCTTCTTTGCTGGCCCTGTTAGGATCCGATGAGATGCGGGGGGGGGGGGGCGGTGTATATGTACACGGACAACATCTCTTGGAGGCTCCCAAGTGGTGGTTGCCAGAAGAGAACCCGGTGTTGGAAAAGAGAGAGAGAGAACCCTGCTTTTCTGTCATATATTCTTTTGTCCCCTTTGAGATTTGTATCAAATAAGCTCTTCAGTGAATAATGAGAAATAGCACAAAAGTAGGTAAACTTAAAGAACTAGGATAAAATGAAAAAAGAATGGGATACAATGTCGACATGAAAGGTATGGTGGCTTAAAACTACTTTTTAGGTCGGGCTCTGCACTCAGCCCAGAGTCTGCTTAGGACTCTCTCTCCCTCTCTCTCTGCTGCTCCACCCTGCTCGCTCACTTTCTCTATAAAAATAAATATTTTTTTAAAACCCCCCCTTTTTAAGATTTTACTTATTTATTTGACAGATAGAGATCACAAGTAGGCAGAGCAGCAGGCAGAAGGAAGCGGGGAAGCAGGCTCCCTGCTGAGCAGAGAGCCAGATGCTGGGCTCGATCCCAGGACCCTGAGATCATGACCTGAGCCAAAGGCAGAGGCTTAACCCACTGAGCCACCCAGGTGCCCCTAAAAACCACTTTTTAAGATAAAATAAAATAAAATAAAAGTCATGTCCCTACATATTAAAAAGAAAAAAAAAAGAAATCTGAGTGGTCAATGCACGGGAAGCACACTGACTTATCTTCTAGACTATCCTTGTGGCTCGTATAATTTCATTGTTACCTTTTGAACGGAGCTATGAGGGTCCCAGTTTCAGGTAAGATGGGGTAAGTACCTTTGTTCTGTCTCTCCCACTGAAGAATTTCAGTAAATCAGCAACCCGCACAGCAGTAGGAGCCAGTATTGTAGTCGCAGACAGCCAGCACCCTTTCGGTGACCTGTAGGACGGGACAAGGCAGCTGGGTCACGCGCCTCGTCAACTCCTCACCGGCTTTCACAGGAGCATCTCAATAGATTAATAACCTATACAGACATCGTGCTGTTAACTGTGTATATTTGCTCCTCAGGGTTCTGCTCTAAGTCACCATCCCAGAGAGATCCTCCCTGACCCCAAAGCCAAAGCAGCCTCCCTTCACGCTCCCCCTCATTACCTCCGACCATGCTCAGAAATTAGCACTCGTGGCCTCATAAGACGAGGGCCTTGGTTTGCTCACTGCGGGACTCCCTGTTCCTAGAACGGGTCTGGCACAGAGGAGGGGCTCAGATATTTCTGGAAATAATGACTCTCCGCTCACCCCAAAGCCTCTTGTCCCTTGAGGTTCCTGCTTATCAGCAGATGCAGGAAATCAAAGTATTTTCCAATATTACGCATCCACCTTATTTCTTAGATGGCCTCTCTCCCACCGCTAAGGGGGAAAGAAAAAAAAACCACTCAGGCTCCTTCTTGACCCAAGTATCTCCTCCCCCTTCCCATACACCTCTGCTCACACCAACCTCCCTGTGCGACATTAAATTCGACAGTGGAAAAATGCCAGCTTCACACCTGCCTCTCCTTTCCCTCCACTTCTCTCCCACCTCTCACCCTCTCTGGGAAGCAGGTGATCACCTATAATAAACACCACATCCCCGTAGGCAGGCTTTAAAGAAACTTGGGCAAAAGAAAGATTCCTCCTATGAATGTTGAAGCTTTGGGAAATATTTACAGGGCGGATGAGTATCCATGATGAAGGAAATGGAAAATCCACTCTCACCCCGGGAGTGGCCATGCTGGGGGGTGGTGGTGGTGAGTGGGGGTACTCCCAGTATCTCTCCCTTGTCTTGGGGGACCAATAGACAGTAGGGAGACGTTCTGCTAACATGCATGGAGCAGGGTTGCCCTTAAACGTCACATCAATTGGGACGCCTGGGTGGCTCAGTGGGTTAAGCGGCTGCCTTCGGCTCAGGTCATGATCCCAGCGTCCTGGGATCGAGTCCCACATCGGGCTCCCTGCTCAGCAGAGAGCCTACTTCTCCCTCTGCCTCTGCCTGCCACTCTGTCTGCCTGTGCTCACTCTCTCTGACAAATAAATAAATAAAATCTTAACAAAAAAAAACAAACCTTTATATCAACCTTAGGAGGTGATAGTAAAAGTATTATAATGATAATGACCACACGGAGGAGAGCCTACTTGCCAAGAACTGCTCTAAATGCTCCACCGCTAGACTCTGTTTGTCCTTCACCACAACCGTGTAAGGTAGATGCTATCCCTTCTCCCCACCCTACAGATGAAAAAACTAAGCTGTAGAGAATTTAAGTCACTTTCCCAAAGTTCCTTAATGAGGGAGTGGCAAGGGGAGAGTCTGAACGCAGCAGTACGCTCACTGCCTGACAGCCCTCACCCGGGGCCACCAGACATTCCAGGGACAGAACCTAGTTGCAAGGCCACACCTAGCTGCAAGGGAGCTTGGGAAATGCCGCTCAAACTTAGGGGTTCTAGCACTGTCGAGGCGACATACTGGGGGACAATGAGCAGTCTTCACCCCCCCCCACATACACTTTGACCTTCTCCCAAGTTAGTTAAGATCTCAAAATTCAGGAGCTCACAGCGGGCTGCTGCCCATGATGGGGGGGGGTGGCAGTAATTAAGAGAGGCGTTCTGAGACATCAGCTGTGGGAGAGCCAACAGAGAAATCACTTTGGAAGGTGCCGGTTAGCTATTTCAAACCGACACCTCCTCTAGGTGGACAGGGCCTCCAACACCCAGCCAGTGTCAGAGACCTGCTTGGTGGTGTGGGGGAGCGAACACATGATCAAAAGATCTAACTTACAAAATCCTACAGCATCATTTCTCCCACATTCTGTTGATCAAAGCAAGCTACCCAGACAGCGCAGATTCAAGGACTGGGAAAACAGACTCTTGGTAGCAGGTGCTGAAAAAAAAAAAAAAAAAAAGATGTGCCATTTTTAATATCCAAAATGAGAAAAAATTTAAAGGAAAATGGAAAGGCAGGCGGGGGGCAGAAAAGAGAAAGGAGCAATGGAAAACAAAAGAAAAGAAAAAAAAAAACCCAGCCCCAGTTCCTGAGAAGAGGTAGTGTGGGACGGTGGGGTGGGGTGGGGTGGGGGGCGCCCCTTGGGCGGTAGGCGGAGCCTCCGGGGCAGATGACCTCCGCTCTGCCCATCCATTCTCCGTGAGTTCCAGGATTTTCTAGCTTAGATCCAAGTAGAGACAAAAACACAACCGCATGCCATCCCCTTCTTGCTGACCCTGCCCTCTGGCCTTTCCCAAATTCATTACACCTAAGCCTCCTCCTCCTGCAGTTAAACGACATTACAGGGGTGTCCGGAGTCTCTCCGGGGGCCGGACACACAGTACGCTCTCAGTAAGCGGTAGTAGTAGTAAAGTCATCCAGACACACCGCAAGAGGCACCCCGAGACACACGTGGTGAGGCACCAGTGGGTTAGTCCACACCAAGGGCTCCAGGGAGCGCGAACTGCTGTCGTCCGTCTTGCGCTGTGGAGTGTGAAGGAGGCCCCCCCACTGGTACAAGTGCAAGAGAAGCTCGGCCCATACAGTGAAGAGACCTAAGACCTTAAGGCTGCCCCGTTGAAAGCGGGAGCCGGTAGCCACGCAGAACCATGACACTGTAAGTTAATTAAAATACGACACAGCCGCAAATTCAGTGCCGCGGCCGCACTGGCCACATTTCAAGAGCTCAAAGCCACCTGCGGCCGGGCGGGGCGGATGCAGAACCTTTCCGCGGGCGCGCGAGGGTCCGCCGGACTGCGCCGCGGGAGGGGGTCCTCGGCGGGGCGCCCTCCGCGGGAACGAACGCGTGCAACCCACAGAGCAACCCTACAGCAGGTCTCCTTCCTCGCAGTCTCCCGGCAGGTGAGAAAACCGAGGCTCAGAGGTGCAACCACACAGGTCGGGGTCGGAGCGCAGGAGCACCAGGGGCCAGAGACGCTGCTCCCACCCGGTTCGAACGCATCACCCTCTCGTTCTCTTCCGTACTGCGGAGGCTGCTCCCCTTCCTTCCCCTCTTCTTTCCCCACCCCCCTCCTCTACCCTAGCTCCCCCAGCCCCCTTTCCCACGGCCCCTCCACGCCTCTTCCCTCCCAGTCCTCTCCTACCACTTCCTCCCGCTTGCCCCTCCCTTTACCCCTCCCTCCTCCTCCCAAGCCCTTCCCCTCTACTCCCAACTCCTCCACCCAAGCCCCTACCTGCCTCCCCTGCCTTTCCTCCTCCCTCCTCCCCTCTCTCAGAGCCCCTCCCTCTCCTCCTCCCTCCAAACTCTTCCCCACCCCCATTTCTCCCCACTCCCGCATCCAAGCCCTTCCTCGTCTACCCTCCCAGTCCTCTTCCCTCTTGCCTTCCCCCTCCCTCCTCCAAGCCCCTCCCGTCTTCCCCTCCTTATCCTCCTCCCTTCCACCCTCCTTCCTCCAAGCCTTCCCTCCATTTCTCCCCCGCGCTCCCTCCAAGCTCCTCCCCCATTCCCATCCCCATCTCCTCCCTCCTCCTAGCCTCGGTCTCCTCCCACGCGGAGGCGTCCGGGAGCGCGGAGGGGGCTGTGGTCCGGCGCTGCGCAGGGGCGGGGCGGGAGCGGCCAGGTGCGCAGGCGTAGACGGTGTGCTCATCCGGACCGGTGGCGGGGTGGGTCCGCGCCGCCCGCCGGATTCACTCGTCCGCCAGGTTGTCCTCGTGGGGAGGATCACGCACCCGGGATCGCGGGAGGGGCCCGGAAGGGGCTGTGAGCCCCGCCCCTCTGTGCCTCGGTTTCCCCGCCCGGACAGCGGGTGTGGACAGCACCTGTGCCGGGGTGGCGCGCAGAGCTCCATCCGTCGGAGCTGCTCTCGTCGCTGTTGTTTAGGTAATAGTAGCGGCAGCGCTGCCACCAGCAGTTTCGGAGCATCCCCTAGCTACGTGCCTGAGTCAGCGCCTCACGGACCGTGGGCCGCTCTCCCACGGTGCCCGCGCTGGGTGGACAGGGTCTACTGAGCCCCTACCCGCCTGAGTCCCCTCCACGGGGCCCGTCTCCCTAGCACCTGGGGCAGGGCAGCCACAAGTATGACTTGGAGTCCTGTGTGTCCTCATAAAGAATCAACAAACCCAGGGACCTGGCCTCAATCTCCAGCCCTGTGACACCCGGGGCTGTCGTAGGTGCAGACCCCCGGGAAGATCGGCTCGAACTCGCAGAGGCGGTCCCCGGGGGCTTCTGGAACTCCCAGCGATGCTGCCGCGGACGCCTGCGGAAACCGGAGACACCCTGTCATCTCCTTGAACCCTACAGGAGCCCCGTGCCCTTCGCACTAGGATTTCCCCCCATTTGCACATGTGGAAACTGAGGCACAAAATGAAAAGCCCCCTCGCCCCCACAAGGGTAGGGGAGTTAATGCAATAACCACACTTAAGCCTTGTGCAGGTACCACTTCACAACAACCCTACAAAGCTGGGGTCTTAGGTCCCTCACCTTCCAGATGAGGAAACAGTCTAAGTGACCTGCCCAGGCACACCGCTAGGGAGCGGCAGGCAGGGCAGCCTGGCCCCGGGGGCTGAGCTGTGTCAGGACCGTGGTCTCCAACATGGGGTGTGCCAGGCCATGCAGTGGGGAAGCCAGACAGCTGTAGAGCTGTGTTCTGAGTCGTTTCAGTGTGAGCAGAAGGAGAGCAATTCGGTTTAATTGGCAGATTTTCCCCCCTTAGATAAAAGCATGCCTTCTTTCAGTGTATGGTATGTTGGAGTCATTGAAATACAGAATTTAGTGGCATACACATGTATATTAGTGTAATTACGGTATTTCATGTGTGCGTACATATACACCTTACATAACCGTATATACAGTATTCAGTGTATGCACATATATACACCTTGTTTGTGAGTACATACGGTAGTGTTTGTCCACCTTCTGTGCCTGTTCCTGGGGTACCGTGTGTGGACTGTTCACACGCAT